CTGGCGTCACAGGTACAGTCGGACGTTTCTTAACTTATTTATTAAGTCGCCGGTGGGGAATTATAATAGCAATTGAGTGTCCGAAGCATTTTCTCCAACTTTCACGCCTCTTTAATTATGCGCGAATTGATTTTACAGAAAAGCATGAATTTGACGATACCCGAATGGTGTACGAAGGACGTGATCAAGACCTTGCAATCCATCGTGATACTCGAATACGAAATTCGCTCACACACGACGCAACTAAAACGTTTAAACGGAGGCCCGCTCATCAGGACATTTATCGAAAATATACAAATGAACGAGGGCCGCAAAAGACCGCGGAAAATCTATTTGTACAGCGGACACGAGACAAATATCGCTGGATTCGCGAGAGCTCACAATTTCACAGAACCGGCGCTACCAAATTACGGTACCGCGATTATATTTGAAAAACTAAGCGACGAAGCTGGCAAGAAGTTCGTCAAGGTAATTGATTTTGAATGTTGCGCTACACAAAATTCAGACGCTACGAATGAAAATTCTGATAACACTAGAACGATCAAACCCATCAAAATGGCGAATTTTACGTTCATTATATCTGACAATTATTGTCAAAATGTTTTCGATAAAAATTATTTGTTCAGCTCTATTTCCTAATAAAAATCGTGCAATATCTCAAACGCGATCTCGTTCAGACCATTGAATTGTTCACAAAGTAATTTCGTTCTTTTTTCGTGAAAAAAGACAATTTCCTTATAATTTACAAATATCTGATTGAATTATATTGTATATTGACCATTTTGGTCGAATGCCTTTTGTCATCTTTCTGGTGGTAGTAAGATTTCACACCAAAAACTTGAGCCAAGTGATTTTTGACATCCTCATTCGAAGTAAACGTTTTACCGTTTAAGAAATGTAAAGTCCGGAGCAAGTAATAATCCGATGGTGCCAAATTTGATGAGTGTTGTGGGGATGATAATATGTTTTATTCAATTTGTAGCAGCTTCTGACGAGTCGCCAAACTTGTGTGAGGTTTGGCATTATCGTCGTATCATCAAAATGGCAAATCTCTTGTTCTTTATTTAACGTTTATTGCGAAGGTCTTTTCAAGGAAAATTATTTATTCTGGACCATTTTCTAATAAAACTCGCGCGATGTCTCGATAAACGCGATCACGAACAAACTAATGGCTGTTTTGGAGCTCGGTTGTTCTAGTGTTGATTCATGCTTTATAAAATAATTTGTCGTTTCAATGTAGTTCATAATTAAGGATCGAGTAACGCAATTTATTTTTAGCTGTTCCTTTGGACCGGAGTTACGGCAGAGTTGATACCTTATAAGTTCAACGGCCACGACGAAGTTCTCACGTTCGATAAATATAAAGAGTTGGTGAACGACGTTCTACCATCCAACAAGGAAATACATTCAATGTGGGACTATCTTTCAAAAGATGACCTATATAAGTTATATGAAGAGAAAGATAGTTAAGATTGGA